ATATATATATATATATATTAATTAAACTTTTTTTAAAAAATTGATTCATTATTAAAGAATATTCTTTATCGCATTAGAGGATTAATCTCCTTCAAAATTTTGACAGACATCAAATAAATAAACATCTTCTTCAAATATATATTTTATATATATGATAATTTAAATATATATTTATTTTATTAGAACATAATTTTTATTTTTTAAAATATATTATTCTTTTGATAAAAAAATATGTATGTATCAAATAGTAGTGGAGATAAATGCTGCCATTCTTCACATCGTGAATCCATCATTGATTATAATCGATAATAATAAATAATTAATTATTAAAATAATTGATTTTTCACACCTTTACTAAACGCTATGTATATTGAATGATTTTGATCTTAACAATTTAATAATAACTCTTTCCAAACATATTTTTTTAATAAATTATTTTCCCAATTCAGATCTCGAGTGAGAAGTACTTTTGGTAAGACCGACTAATTATAACTCCGTTTTTCATTTTTCTTAACACATACAAACAGTTTTTTTCTCTCTCCTTCATTCTATCCCCTTATTTAACAAGGATACCTACCATTCACTGCCTGATATGCATATTTTTTTATTTTTGAATCATAAAAAATGTCCAACAATAAAAACCATTTATTTTAAACGATACGATAATAATAATGTAAAATATCACTGAACCATATAAAAAAAAAAAAGATGATGGTTCAAGGAGCTTGGCAAACCCGGCATAATGGACTAGAAGGGCAGCGGCTTGTAATCCCTCCACTGTCAGGAGCCGGAAGTGTTCGCTGCTCTGTTAAGCCAGCCTCACGCTATGCCCTCCGGTTTAGGAGCAACGAAACCTGCGCCTTCGTCCAAGTTCCGTAACTCAACTCTTAACTTGGAGCGGGCAAGCCAGCACTGAGCCACAACCAAGCCCAACCGAGCATACCCGAGCCATGTCCCATCACCCTGATGCCCCCACTCGAGTTACAAGCTAGCGTTACTTAGCTCGGCGAGCTGACGCATGTGTCAGAGACTTATAAAGGATCATTTCTATAAGAACCTAGTCGATGTGGGAGTTGTCTGAGGTGAACTTTTTTTTAGTTTCCTTGAATCTAGTCGGAGGAGAACTAGAAAGAAAGACATGAAACCAAGATTCCAAAGTGCATTAAACTTGGTCCTAGCTCAAGATACACATCATTGTTCATGATGCGTGCTTGAAGAATGGGGGGAAATTAGCAACCTGAATATTTGCTGTGTCTGAGAAATGTGTGCTTGGCAGCTGCACACTTCTTGTCGCACATGCAAATGCGAAAACAAATGATGGACCCAAGTTCCAATTGTTTACTTAATCCTCACCAACTATATTCTCCATTTTACAACGTTTATATGTAATCCAAAAGTTGAATGTCGCTTAACATTATGGTTGGATTCCAAGTCTTTTTTGCATTTTTTTTCTCAGCCTCAAAGCACTAAGCATCTTCCCTAATACATGTGAGTATCCACTAGTTTCCTTAATGTCCATGTTTCTTCATTGAGGAGTTTGGAACAGTAAGCAGATCACTAACATTTTATACCAAGCACCACCTTACTAAATGTATGGCATAAGCAGCAATAGCTTCCTTCAAGTATTCTTCTGTGGCAAATACAATTCCTAAATCCCACTTGTAGTTGTAACCCTCCATTTTTCTTGGTTGCTCAGATAAAGGATTACTCTTTTTCTTCTCTTTTCAATCCTCAGATTCATACCCAAAGTCTGGTAGGCCTCTCATTCTCAAACTAGTAACACAATGAATATGACCATCCTCATCTATTCTACATTTTTCTGCAAAAGCAGGTTATTCCCCTTGCCTTTTCTTTTTGTTATTCGTAAAATTTGAATATATCAACAAAAGTTATATATTTCAATAAGTACGAAAAGTTTACTGCTGATATATATTTACGTATCTTATATATAAATTAAACTCGTTTTAAATCAACGACCTTTATATATATATATATATATATATATATATATTTATATTTACTTTACAAATCTCCTTACGTAGAATTTCCTAAGTAACTAATGTTGAGCAACACTGAGTTTATATATGAGATTATTTTAATTTCAATTTTAAATAATGCCATATTTTCAGGACAAAGAGACCATGTCAAAGATCCTAACATCAAATACTGCAAAATAGTGGTATTCAATTATTCATGACAAATGACAATTCCCACATGTCTTAAAATTATTAGTCTGGCTCAAATCCAAATTTAAATACCCCTTTATTTAAATCTCTCATTTTCATTTGTGCAATTTTCTCGCAGCTTTTTAAGTTTTCAAACCCATGAAAGGGCGATTTTAGACGTAAGCTACATAAACTACTGCACAGGCCAGGAACCCACTTTTCTTTCTCTGTAACATAGCACACAAAATAGAAAGAAAAGAATTATTACTAAATTATACAGTACTACTGTGTACTGATTGTTATGTTTCTTTAAAACAACAAAAACCTCTAGTTTAACTATTGTGCAGCAAATCAATAATTTAATACTCGCAGTATCCCACATGCCTCTTTTTTAAGTGAAAAGCGTTTTCTTTTTCTTTTATTGATAATGCTGGATGAGATTACTCAACTCAATAAATAGGGAAGATACTAATTGATGCATTAACACACCATATCCGAGATATTAGGGCTTAAATCCAAATAGGATTTGATCCAACCACATTCTTTTCATTAATAAGTCACCATCAACACTGTTTGTCCCATAGCCGAATGTGTGGTAGGCTGGTAGCAGAGAAAATCCAAGCGATCCTGCATACTTCTTTAGTTCGTCTAATCCATGTTAAGGCTTAATCATATGAAAATGAAAGTTTCATCTTATACAAAAGGCCTCATCAAAAGATTAACAACAGTTGATATTAAAATTTAACTTCTCTCTTAAAAAGGTAAAAAAAAACACGTGGCCTAGCTGTTTTGTGGATCTAGAGATTCTAGTATTTATAATTTGCATATAACTCATAATTTGTATTGTATTCCCAACAAAGCATGATTTGGTTCCTTCCTCTTGTTCCTCCCTAGGCACAAACCTTTCTCAGTGGTCTCTCACTGGGGTTCATATAACATAGCTGTAATGCCTGTGAATCCATGGACCCCCTTCTGCTTGTTCTTGTGCTTATCTCTTTTATTATACAATTCTTTTGTAGTTATAGCAGTGAACCAACAAGGCCAAGCTCTCCTTTCATGGAAGAGAACCTTAAACAGCTCCGAGGCTTTGAACAACTGGGAACCAATTCACGAAACACCATGCCAGTGGTTTGGAGTGAGTTGCAACAAGAGAAACGAAGTTGTGGAGTTAGATCTGAGGAATGTGGTTTTGCTTGGAGGACTTCCTTCTAACTTCAACTCACTCCCTTCATTGAATGTTCTCATATTAACTGGCACAAACCTCACTGGTTCAATTCCAAAGGAGATAGCTACCCTCACAGAACTCACCTACTTGGACTTAAGCCACAATGCGTTGAATGGTGAAATCCCAAATGAACTCTGCCACTTGAATAAGTTAAAGCAATTGCACCTGAACTCAAACAACCTGGTACGGTCCATTCCAGTTTCAATTGGTAATCTCAGTATGTTAGAGTGGTTAATCTTGTATGATAATTTGTTAAGTGGTGAAATTCCCAGCACCATAGGGAATCTGAGGAACCTAAAAGTGATAAGAGCTGGTGGGAACAAGAACCTACGTGGCCCTTTACCACAAGAAATTGGTAACTGTACTAATTTAATGATACTAGGCCTCGCTGAAACAACCATTTCAGGGTTTCTACCTTCAACATTGGGTGTGTTAAAGAAGCTACACACCATTGCACTCTACAGTACTTCCCTTTTATCTGGTCCAATTCCACATGAACTCGGAAACTGCACCGAACTACGAAACATTTACCTCTATGAAAACTATCTAACAGGTCCCATACCGGGCACGTTGGGTAACCTTGGCAAGCTGAAAACTTTGCTCCTGTGGCGGAACAACCTCGTTGGGAACATTCCAGCGGAGATAGGAAAGTGTAACGAACTAACGGTCGTTGACGTTTCGATGAACTCGCTAACGGGGAGCATTCCAAGGAGTGTGGGAAACTTGACGGCGTTAGAGGAACTGCAGCTCGGCGTTAACGGGATTTCGGGGGTGATTCCGCCGGAGATAGGAAAATGTGGTGAACTCACTCACGTGGTGCTTGACAACAATGAAATAACGGGAACGGTGCCGTCCGAATTGGGGAACCTGAAGAACCTAACGCTGTTATTCCTCTGGCACAACAAGCTCAACGGTTCTATACCGTCGACGCTTTCGAAATGCGAAAGCCTTGAAGCTTTGGATCTCTCGGTGAATAATTTCACGGGTTCTATACCCGAGGGAATATTCCGCCTCGGCAAACTGAACAAGCTTTTGCTTCTTTCAAACGCTCTTTCAGGAGAATTACCCTCCGAGATTGGTAATTGTTCTTCTCTGATTCGATTTAGAGCAAGTAATAATTTCATTACCGGGAATATTCCCTCACACATTGGGAATCTCGCGAATTTGACTTTCTTGGACCTCGGAAACAACCGCATCGCCGGAACTATCCCGGACGAGATCTCCAGCTGCCGGAATCTCACGTTTCTAGACTTGCGTTCGAATTTCATAACCGGAAACCTTCCGGCGAGTCTCGGTAAGCTTAATTCGCTTCAGTTTATTGATATCTCCGATAATAATCTACACGGCACGCTTAGTCCCAGCCTAGGGTTTCTTAATTCTCTGAATAAATTGGTTTTGAGGAAGAATAGTATTTCCGGTTCAATACCGAGTCAACTCGGTTTCTGCGCGAAGCTGCAGTTGCTGGACCTCAGCAGCAACCGAATCTCCGGGAATATTCCGGGGAGTCTAGGGAATATTCCGGCGATGGAGATAGCTCTGAATCTGAGCTTGAACCAACTTTCCGGTGAAATTCCAAGGGAGTTTTCGTCGTTATCGAAACTCGCCGTTTTGGATATTTCTCATAATCGTCTCAGTGGCGACCTTCGGCATCTCGCGGAATTGCAAAATCTCGTCGCGCTGAATGTCTCGTACAACGAATTCTCGGGGCGCGTTCCTGACACGCCTTTCTTCGCGAGGCTTCCGGTGAGCGCGCTCGAGGGGAACCCGGCGTTGCGCCTGTCTGGCGGCGACGGAGGATCGCGGCGGAGAGGTAAGGCGGCGCGCGCGGCATTCGCGGTTCTGCTATGCGTCGCCGCGTGCGCGTTACTCGTGGCGGCGCTGTGTGTCGTTGGCGCAGCGAAACGACGCGAGGAGAATGAAAACGGCGTTAGTGATAGGAGTGACGCTGACGTGGACATGGCCCCGCCTTGGAAGGTGACGCTTTACCTGAAACTGGATCTGTCGATTGATGACGTGGCGAAATGCTTGACAGCTGGCAATGTCGTTGGGCGGGGACGAACCGGCGTCGTTTATAGAGTGGAAACACCGACGGGGTTGACCGTGGCGGTGAAGAGGTTTAGGTTAAGGGAGAAATTCTCGGCGGCGGCGTTCGCGGCGGAGATTGCGACGCTGGCGCGGATCCGACACCGGAATATTGTGCGGCTGTTGGGTTGGGCGGAGAACCGGAGAACGAAGCTGCTATTCTATGATTACCTTGTTGGTGGGAACTTACACGCCCTGCTGCACGAGGGGTGCGCAGGATTAGTGGAGTGGGAGACACGGCTCAAGATAGCAGTGGGCGTGGCCGAGGGTCTGGCCTACTTGCACCACGATTGCGTCCCTGCTATCTTGCACCGGGACGTGAAGGCGCACAATATTTTACTTGGAGATAGATATGAACCGTGTTTGGCTGATTTCGGATTCGCTCGGTTGGTAGAAGACGAAGAACACTGTTCTTTTTCCATGAACCCCCAATTCGCGGGTTCTTACGGCTACATTGCTCCGGGTATGTCATGTCTATTCTAGTTTTTCCGTTGTTTTGTTTGGTCCTTGCTTTTGGATTTAGTGTTTGTAAATTACTTGACTGAATAATAACTACATATAAAGTTACCGCTTTGGACAATAACAAGTTAACAACTCACTAGAATATGATGATAGTCTCAGAATAAAAGCCAAATTATGCTGAATCATGTTAATAAATTATGTGTTTGTAGTTTGTGGGTGTGTACTAGAGTTGATGTGTTAGGTTGGAACTGTGGATGCAGAGTATGCCTGCATGCTTAAAATCACAGAGAAGAGTGATGTGTATAGTTATGGGGTGGTCCTACTAGAGATGGTGACGGGGAAGAGGGCGGTGGATGCATCATTTCCGGAGGGACAGCAACATGTTGTGGAATGGGTCCGAGAGAAGCTGAAGAGGAAGAAGGACCCGGTTGAGGTTATGGACCCCAGGCTTCAGGGGCTTCCAGACACGCAGATACAAGAGATGCTGCAAGCTCTTGGTATCTGTCTCTTGTGCACGAATACTCGCGCGGAGGATCGTCCCACAATGAACCACGTGGCTGCATTATTGAGGGGAATTCGACATGACCCTCCAGCAGGGTCTCAGCCCCACAAAACCACCCATGCTTCCTCTTTTTCGTCCTCTTCGGTGACCCCGGCAGCTCACTTGTTGCTTCTACAATCATCTTCTCGGTCCTCATCATTCGCTTATTCATCTTCTTCAGCTGTAGCCTACCCCCAACACGGAATCAGCCATGAGTTTTGAGGGGGAAAATATGTACTATTTTGGAGAGGACTTAGATATCGTGTTAGATATTTTGAATGGTGAGCTACAAGTACAACTGGGCATTGTAAGCAGGGTATTCATTTCCACATGATAAAACAAAAATGACGGAGTGTACAGTACAGCAACTTATTTATTATTGTTTATCTTATCTACCAAGAAATGGAGATGGTGGTTCCTTCGGGTGTCTTAATTACAATTACGTTTTGATGATTGACTGTGTCCGTTTGTGTAGCTACCATTAATTCTTCAAAAGAGGGCAATAGTGACTGATATTACTAGGGATGCTAGAATCAATATGGTACTTGTCTGATTGAATAGCTGGAGAGTGGGCAATCATTTGGTACTTTGTAAATTGTGAGCTCTCTTTCTTTCTCTTTTCAAACAAATACGGACTTTAAAGCGTCAAAGGAATCCACAAAGTAAGGATTGCAAATACTATCAATTTTCAAATAAGTGTTTGGCATAAACAAGGGTTAACAACTTAATCGAAAGTCAATTCATACACCCATAAAATTTATATTATTTGGCATCTAACAGTCTTCATCGATAGAACAAATATTAGTCCAAAACTTCCATTTCCGCTAGGGACTCCTTTATTATTTTATTGAGAATAGATCATAAGAGAGTCAAATTATATACACCCAAAACATACAGGTTTGACAACGTTACATATATAGGTCTTGACACGCCAAAAGAGCATTATAGTTTGTTTAACATGAAACAGTAACATTGAGACTCAAGGAAACCAAAACTATCATGATATTTGCTATTTTGTGGCCAAGGATTATGGCCACTCTAACATGCTAGATGATGATACCAAGGGAATTAAGGGGAAAGCTACCTACTGTGTTTGCAAAAATGGAGAATCAATGAAAACCATGAGGAGGCTTGTTGCAGGAGTCATAGTGTCATACTTGAAAGCTTACTTGCATGATGATAATGGGACTTATTGGCCGTAAGAGACAAGCATGTGAGTCCACCGGTCGAGGTCAAATTTTATTTTTTGGTGTAAAAATCAGAGAACATAGGCAGCATATATTTCTGTTATCTCATGAGTCATGATACTATTTAAAAGAAGGAAATAGTAGCCTAAAATGTTAAAAACCATGTGGTGATTTTGTTGCTCTGCACAGAATGAATGTAAGTACTATTGAGCATAAAATTCAAACAAGAGTTCATTCCACGTACAAGTCAATGGCATGTGGGGTGTCATCATTGGAAGACTTGTTAGTTGTTACTGCAATCTATGATGTTGCATTTTGCTACATTCGGGTTACCAAGAAAAAGGGACACTCTTACTAATCTAGATCTTCTCTAGTTACTTCAATCTCTTTGTTCTTTTGATTTTTTTCTTTCTTACAATTTCTTAAGAAAGTGAGTTAAACAACATAATTTAATATTATAAAATCAATATGTAAATACTATTATAATCTTATTTTTAGTCAACGTGGAAAAAGATCCTAACACAATTAGAGTGGGATGTAAATAGTGAATAATATTGGAATATACATCGACTAAAATGCAACAGAAGGTGTTATTGTTTTTCCTGTTGTTATAGATGACAATAAAAGCCCTTGAAGCAGTGATAAATCTAGAAAATTTGTTAAGTGAGGGTAATAAAATATTCTATATCATTTTTAATAAAAAAATATAATAATTTTTTAGAAAATATACTTTTATGGTAAAAAATTTAAAATATCTTAATTTTATAAATTACAATTATCTTATAAATAAAGTGATAATTTTTCACTTTATAAATTTTTGTAACTTATTTAAGATTAGAGGAGTAAAATGATAAAAATTAATAGGATAAAAATAATATAATTATTAATTTGTTTTCTTTTAGTGTCTTCTAAATTTCTACACTTATTTAAAATAAAAATATTTTATGAGTGCATTATCCATTTTTTTATAAGAGTAAATTTTTGTGTTTAAATATATTTAAGTTAAAAAAATTGTATGACAATTACTTTGATTCCTCTTTATGTGGTTCCTTTTCTACCAACACAAAATATGCATATACACGATCAAAAGGTAAGAAATAAAATAAAATTTGAAAAGCAACCTACATTAATAAACTAAATTATGATATCTTTAATGAGTAAAGAAGTGATAAATTTTTTAGCTAAAAATACAGTATATTATAATAACAAAAATGAGGAAGGATCTACTTATTCCAAGAGTAAATTTTGATAAACTTATTTCATCCAATAATTCATGTTCTACATCAAGTATTCAACCATTTAATTAAAATTTTTTAATGTATAGATCAAATTTATAAAATTTTAAAAAGATTGAAAATTAGTTAATACTCTATTTCATTAATTAAATCGATGGATAATAAAAAAATATATTTTATATGTTATTCTGAATCTATCTAACAAAATATTATATAATTTTTAATTTTTTTTAAAAATGTGTAAACTTGATCTATATATTAAATTTTTTTAAAAATAGAATAAAAATTACATAAATATTAAGTAAATTTTAAAAAAAGTAAATTAAGTACCTAAAATTTTTAAACAGGCACAAGTACAAGACAAATAAAGACAAATAAGTATATATTCATCCTGTCTCCATACCCGATTTAATAAATTAGATATTATATATATTCGTATCTAATCAAATAAGATATTTTTTTTATCAAAATCGATTACTCATAAATATGGATTTAATTGTCCTTCTAATAAAAAAATGAAGAAGGAATAAAAAAGGAATAGTAATAAACAGAAACGAGGAAAGATAAAAAAAAAAAACAATGGAAGGAAGAGAATTTTTTAAATGTTTTTAGCTTTTTTAAAATATTTTTTTGAATTTTTTTTAAAAGACAAAGTTTATGAAATTACATAACTAAAAGGCAATTAATTATTTTTTAATTAGATCCATGTAATTCTATATTGGATAAACACGAAGGAGAGTTTGCCAATAAGGCACTTAACATGCCACTGACGGAGGCTTATGGGTGGACGTAAGTTAGTGCAACATGTAATTTTGAGGACTAGTATTATTTCAGTCTCAGATACTAAAACAAACGGGTTACACTTTTAGGGGCTAAAATAGCACTTTACTCATTTATCAAAACTTGCAAAGGACTGGTAGCCTCAAATTATATGGTAAAAAAAAATTAATAAGAAGAAACGCAATTTCTACTTGTTTTTTCTATTTTAAAAATAATAAAAAAAAATGGTATTTTAATTTGCGAAATTTGAGGGTAAAATTTGAAAAAAAAAACAAAAGAAAAAAAAAAATTGGAAAGCAAAAGGCAATTAAGCCACGGAAAAGTTGTCTATGCGTCGTCCACTTAATCAAAGATCACCTTATCACTTGAAGGCTTCCAGGCTTTTAGTTTTCCAAATTCCATATAGATACACTGAGCACGAAGAGACCTTGTTAATGATAATAATTAAGTGGTGATTTCCGATGACTAGGCACAGATATGCATTCATTTTATGGAATCACAAGATGCATACACGTAGTACGAATTTTAGCTTAAGTTCAAATTTCACACATAAAAATTAATCCTCAACCGTTATTATGTCTTTCAAAGCCTGAATTCAACCGTCACATTTCACTCTTAGTCCCCTGATAGAACATGGCCAAAGAAGAACAGAAATTTGCAGTAGGCATCGACCTTGGTACAACGTATTCTTGCGTTGCAGTGTGGCAGGAGCAACATAGTAGAGTAAACATAATACACAACGAGCAAGGCAACAGAACCACACCTTCCTTTGTTGCTTTCACAGATAATCAGAGGTTGATTGGTGATGCTGCTAAAAACCAGGCTGTCACCAACCCAGAAAACACCGTCTTTGGTATATTTTTAACCATTACTCATATCCTTTTTATGTTTTGTTTCCCTGTAGATTTCGCTACGAGATTTTTGATAACTTTTGCAGATGCTAAAAGGTTAATTGGTAGGAAATATAGTGATTCCATTATTCAGAAAGAGAAAATGTTGTGGCCATTCAAAGTCGTTGCTGGTGTGAGTGACAAACCCATGATCGTGGTCAAGTATAAGGGTCAAGAGAAACATCTCTGTGCTGAAGAAGTATCGTCTATGATCCTCACAAAGATGCGGGGGATTGCGGAGGCCTACTTGGAAGCACATGTAAATGATGTTGTTGTTACTGTTCCTGCTTATTTCAATGATTCTCAGCGAAAAGCCACAAAAGATGCATGTGTTATTGCTGGCCTAAGTGTTATGCGGATAATCAATGAACCCACTGCTGCAGCTATTGCATATGGCCTTGACAAGAGGAATAATTGTGTTGGAGAGCGAAACATTTTCATTTTTGACCTTGGTGGTGGTACTTTTGATGTATCTCTCCTCACAATCAAAGATAAGGTCTTCCATGTCAAGGCTACTGCCGGAAACACTCATCTCGGCGGAGAGGACTTTGACAACAGAATGGTGAACTACTTTGTAGAGGAGTTTAAAAAGAAGGAGAAAGTGGACATTAGTGGGAACGCAAGAGCCCTAAGGAGGTTGAGAACTGCATGTGAGAGGGCAAAAAGGACACTATCGTATGAGGTTTCTACCAACATTGAGTTAGATGTTTTATTTAAGGGCATTGACTTCTGCTCTTCAATCACTCGTGGAAAGTTTGAGCGAATCAATATGGGGCTCTTTGAAGAGTGTATGGAGACAGTAGATAAGTGTCTCACTTATGCTAAGATGGACAAGAGAAGGGTGCATGATGTTGTCCTTGTTGGTGGTTCGTCAAGGATTCCCAAAGTGCAGGAGCTATTGCAGGAATTTTTTGACGGAAAGGATCTCTGCACTAGCATCAACCCTGACGAGGCTGTTGCTTATGGTGCAGCCATTCAGGCTGCTTTGTTGAGTGAAGGCATTAAGAATGTTCCAAACTTGGTGCTTTTGGATTGCACATCACTATCCCTTGGTATATCCACAAATGTAGGTGTCATGAGTGTAGTGATTCCTAGGAACACTACCATTCCTGTAAGGAAGACCGTAGAATACTATACAACAAAAGATAACCAACATGAAGTCCCAATTAATATTTATGAGGGCGAGAGAACAAGAGCAAAGGATAACAATTTGCTAGGTTCTTTTGTTCTTTCTGGTTTTCCTCCTGCTCTTCGTGGCCATCCTATGGATATTTGTTTCTCTGTAGATGCAAATGGTATCCTAACCGTTTCTGCCGAGGAAAAAACCACCGGCAACAAGAATGAGATTACCATAATTAATGACAAAGAAAGGCTGTCAACTGAAGAAGTAGGAAGATTGATTCAAGAAGCTGAGAAGTACTTGGCTGAGGATAAGAAGTTCCTTAGAAAGGCCAATGCAATGAATTCTCTGGATGATTATGTTTATAAGATGCAGAAGGCTCTAAAGAAGAAAGTTATCAATTCAAAGCTTTGCTTACAAGAAAAAAATAAGATTAGTTCTGCAATTACTAAGGCCACAAGTTTGCTAGATGATGATAGCAATGAAATTGAGGTGTTGGAGAATTGTCTAAAGGAGCTTACCAGCCTCTTTGAAACCTTCATGAACAAGATTAGTTAATTTATTTCTAGTTAAGATTTTTGATGGTGCTGAGTTGTTATTTTGTATGTGACAAAAGCTAACCGTTCTTATGGACATTATCTTAGCATAGCTTAATTGCTTAAGTTCAATATATATTGAAAAGGACATGTATAAATTGCTAACGTGCTTGACTTGGCAGCCACCATAAATATGCTGAATTGATCCTTGGACTAGGTCCCTGTTTACCATTAGCTAAAATTTTAGTAACGATTTGTCTTGGATAATGTGTGCCGTACAATATGTCTACATCTTCCATATACTGGTGATTTTAGTGTTCGTGGTTTTTGGTTCAATGTGTCTTGTACCAATGCTTATAAGCCGAAGAAAAAGGTTTTAAAATTCTTTTGTTAAACAATTTATAATTTATAATTAATTTTAACGTTAAAGAATAAAAAATGACAAACAATTTTTATTTTTCTTTTTTCATTTTTAACATTTGAATGCTTTTAAGAAGAAATTCACTCTATTTTTCCTTCTCTTAAAAGTATTTATGGATAAGATTATCCAAACAAACAAATCTACTGTCATTAGTAGAAAGGAATGACGATGCAGTAGGGACCAAGCAAACTCTTCTGGTATCAGAATGAAAGAGAGGGGACTTCCATAAAAAAAAAATATAGTGTTTATAGAATGAATAGATGCTGATACAAACAAGACCTATATGCATTCATCAAAGCTAAGTACCCACATGCAAAAATAAAGGAATGGAAGCCAAGGTGTGCAGTAAGAGAGTAAATCACTGAAGAATTTCATTCCAAACTAACAATCTAACAACAAGCCTGTTTGGCTGGCATTGCCACACATTGGTCATAGTTTAGCTCAATACCTGGCCAAGGGCGGTGAATATAATTAATTATCTTGTACGTGTACGGGAGAAGCATCCACACCCATCTTGTTTGAGCATTACACTTCCATCTCATTTTTTGTTATTTACAATGGAACAAAGAAAAACCCACAAAAAAAAAGGGAAAAAAGGCTGTTAACTAGATTCTCAAATAAGGACTTTAAAATGTAAAAACAATCTACAAATTATTAGCAAATAATAGGAGTATTGGGCATAATAAGCGTTTTACATCATCAAAAATCAATTCATACACCCATAGACATGATTCTATTTGGCATCTAACCTACTACATTGATTGAACAAATTATTAGTCCACAGCCTCCACTGTTACCAAACACTAAGGATTCATTTACTTTTTTTTTCATTGAGATTAGATCAGACGGGTCAAATTGTATACGCACAAATTCAGGTTTGACTATATTATATATATATATATCAGTCTTAACTCGCCAAAAAGATCAACCACATTGGACCTCAACGAAACCAAAACTATCATGATATTTGCTACAAGTCATGGCAGAAATAGTGAAAATCAACCACATTACCCAACTTACATCACTATTCACTACTAACTGTATAAATCATCATCTCCCTCGGCTGTAGCAGATGAGAAAGGGTCTGAGGTACCTGTTGCAGTGCTCTCATTTCGCTCTGGAAACCGAAACTCAGATCCAAATCCCCGAGACTGTTGCAAGGTCTGAGCAAAGAGTTGGTATTTCCTGATGTCAGCATCACTGACACTCCGGCGAGCAAACTTCATAGACTCCTCAAAGTGGGCAGGCTTTATCTCCGGGACCTCATCATTGTCATCTTCTTCCATGGCTTCAGGATTTTCTCTTCTTCTTCTCTCCTTCTCAATACCCTGTTATTTTCAGGGATCAAGTATGCATATCAATTAAACAAATGAGTCTCAAACTCTTACAAAAAATTAAAGACAAAATTTAAAAAAGAAAAATATTATATATGCCAACAACACATAAAAAGTCACTACAAAATATTACATCAAAGTATATATGTAAATTTGACAAATGAAACTTTCTTTTACAATAGTTACAGAAAATGGAAAAAAAAAAAAACAAAATCATTTCCAGACATGTTTTAGAAAAAATACTCAGAAAATGACAAAGGACAAGAAATTATTAATGGTTTAGTTTAGTGTCAGAAAATTTATGACTTAAACTTCAGAAAACTTTACAGAGAATAATTATGAATTTATGATCCATGACATACACCAGGCAAAATAAGTTACAACTGACAACAAAGTATTAGCACCCATATCTGCACCCATCATACCTTTTCAATATCTTCCCTAATGGCATATTTGCACGCTCGTTGACAAATTTCTGTAATATCTGCACCACTGAATCCATGAGTATAACGAGCAAGAGCTGCTAGATCAACATCCTTTGAGATTGGTGACTTCCTCAAGCATGCTTTGAAGATCTGAAGACGTGAACTTTCATCCGGCAAAGGGATATAAATCAATTGATCCAGACGTCCAGGCCTGAGCAATGCAGGGTCTATAATGTCTGGTCTGTTTGTTGCCCCAATTATAAAAACTGTTTTCTTAGCTGTCATACCATCCATTTCTGTTAACAGTTGGTTCAACACCCTATCTGCAGCACCACCTGCATCCCCTACAGAACTGCCTCTCTGAAGATTGAATATGTTCAAAGAATTAAAAAATAATCAACGTTATCATACTCTTTTATTGTTTTATTTTCCAAAAAGTCAATTAGCTTTTTTAAAAAATGGACCAACAATAAAGAATGTGTTTCTACTTTCTAGCACCTCTCCTAGAAAATTAACAATGAGCAACGAGTTATGAACAATTTAACCATACAAGTTCCATACCTGGGTTGCAATAGAGTCAAGTTCGTCAAAGAAAAGCACACAAGGAGCTGACTGCCGTGCCTTGTCAAATATCTCGCGAACGTTTGCCTCACTTTCACCAAACCACATTGTCAGCAACTCAGGTCCCTTAACACTTATAAAGTTGGCTTGACATTCATTAGCAATTGCTTTAGCTAGCAGGGTTTTACCACAGCCAGGAGGTCCATAAAAGAGAACACCTTTGGAAGGTGACATGCCAAATTTCTCAAACTTCTCAGGATGTTCCACTGGGTATTGAACAGTCTACAGGCAGCAAAAGATTTCTTATATTGGTTTGTAAATGTGAAAATTTACTAAATTAAAATGTACATGTATAATATATTTAAGATGCAGAATATCAAAAGCAAGTTTGGACCTCCTGAAGCTCCCTTTTGACATTCTCTAAGCCTCCAATATCATCCCAGGAAACATTTGGAACCTCCACAACCTGGCAACAGAAATAACTCATGTAATGGTTCTTGTGAACAATTAATTGTTTTAGGAAGGTTAAAATAATTTTTATTGAATATATCCATTAAGATTTGTTATTGAAATAATTGCATGAGCTTTCTGAACACATGGGCATGGGATAAGTTAAGGGGATCCATGTGTTCATATGTAAAACTATGCCTTTTTTTCTTCTTAAAGCCTATGAAACCCAATGAGATCAATCAAGTTCTGAATCTTATTGGTTAATAGTAAAGAGCCAAACTCACTGTTTCACGCAGGGCAGATGGGTTTGAAGAACTTAAAGCAGTTTGAAAGTGTTCATTAGTCACAGCCATGGAATTCAACACCTCAGCATCAATTGTTTCATCCTCTAAGTCGATCACATCCATTTTCTCCCTGATACACTGTAGTGCAGCCTCTGTGCAAAGAGCAGCAAGATCTGCTCCAACATAACCATGGGTATCTCTGGCAACTTTTTCAAGATCAACCTGAAATACACCATAAAATTGGAATCAGAAAGTGCAAGATATATTGCCTTCAAGAAAATGAATAAAATCTTACATTGTCTGAAAGTTTCATGTTCTTTGTATGAATTCTAAGAACCTCCAACCTTCCAATTTCATCCGGTACACCAATGTCAATCTCCCTATCAAACCTTCCAAACCTTCTCAGAGCAGGGTCAATACTATTAGGCCTATTTGTGGCTCCAATAACGATAACATGTGATCGGGTCTTGAGGCCATCCATAAGAGTCAAAAGTTGTGAAACAATTCGCCTCTCCACTTCACCATGTGTCTTTTCCCTCTTTGGAGCAATCGAGTCTAATTCATCAATAAAAATGATAGAAGGGGAATTCTTTTCAGCTTCTTCAAATGCCTTCCTCAGATTGCTTTCACTCTCACCGGCCAGCTTTGACATGATTTCTGGTCCATTAATCAAAAAGAAGAATGCACCAGTCTCATTAGCAACTGCTCTTGCAATCAGAGTCTTTCCAGAACCCGGTGGTCCATAAAGCAAGATTCCTTTTGGAGGCTTAACACCAATTGATTTGAAAAGCTGAGGATGTCTGAGTGGAAGTTCTACCAGCTCACGAATTTGAGCCATTTGTTTCCTAACACCACCAACATCATCATAGCCAACTTCATTTAGTCTCTCTTCATCTTCCCGTTTGATTGGTTCTCCCTCACAGAAGATCTCAGTATCAGGTGCCACAACGCAGTATTCACCAGGATCGGTCTCTATTACCTTGAATTCAACACTGCGCATTCCACCCCTAACAAGGAACAAGTCCCCTTTCCTCACAGGACGATACGACTCCAGAAAGTATGCTATGAAACCAGAACACAAGTCTCATTTTATTAGAAAATCAACAAGGAAGGTGATGCTATTGAACAATAACAGCATGTTTGGAAACCATTTTAAACACGGTGTGACATAAACTTTTAGAAGCAAGTATCTTTAGCTTCTGCATCAATCTTACAAATTGTCAATTGATGTGAAAAATTAAAGAATATGCACACTCAAACGGTATTCCCAAACACACATTTAATAAACTTACGCTTCAGATATGCATCAAACAAGTTGCCAGTTACACCCTCAATGGTGTCATCAATTGGAAGGATGTGAACTCGTTTCCCATACTTCACATCAGGACATTGATGAACAGAGACAACATCTCCAAGCCGTACTCTAAGATTAGCCCGAACAACCTTGTTCATCCTTATTTTTGGCTCATCACACTGGTCATCAGCAAGAACAATGCAAATTGTGTCCCTTCGTTTCTTTCCCTGTGTCATAAAAAATATTCTTAGAATTGCACTCTACTTGCATTAACATAAACATAGAAGATTGAAGATTCTAGGTACCTTTATCAGAACAGTGTCACCCCGGAAAAACTGAAGCTTCTCCATTGTATCAGGGTGTAAAGTAACCACAGAATTATCATCATTAACTGCTTCGTCAACAACAAGTCGGTTAGGAGACTTCTTCCGTTCTAATATTGCTGTGGAATAATCCTTCTTATTACCTTTCCTGCACCAAACATACATTTTCAACAGCATAGTGAATACCATTGGTTGTTACCACTTGAAAATTATCA